AGCATGTCTTCTCCCAGCCTGTATGGATACCGGCAGTTGCCCTGGCCCAGGTGCAAGACCCTGCACTTGGCCTTGTTGAACCTCATGAGATTCACCTGGGCCCACCTCTCCAGCCTGTTCAGGTCCCTCTGGATGGCATCCCATCCCTCTGGCATATCGACTGCACCACCCAGCTTGGTATCATCAGCAAACTTGTTGAGGGTGCACTCAATGCCACTGTCAGTATCATTAATGAAAATATTAAACAACACTGGTCCCAGTACAGACCCCTGAGGGACACCACTTGCCACCATTTTCCATCTGAACATCAAGCCATTGACTACTACTCTCTGGATGCGACCATCCAGCCACACCACGAACAACTGAGTTACCACAAACTGACAAATCACGTCTGAGAAATTAAGCTGCGTTAACTAAGGATGTGTTCTCTCCTGGCATACTGAAGTAACTATCAGAGTAACTATCACACTGCTATCCAACTGCATTTTACAAAGATTCTTACCTAAATGTTTGGGGCTGAGTTACACATCAGAAATCATGCATAGCCTTTATCTGTTCTAAAATCCCTGTAAAAAGACTACCGGCAGGCATGAGGGATCCAGCGTGAAGCCTACAAGTTCTACAGTGGTTCTGACAGGAGGATTCCTCTGCTTAGGTAGTTCACCTCTGGTGGCAAACACTGAACATACTAGCATAAAAGAAGCAGCAGCTTTCCTCACTTTCTAATACTAACCACAGAATAGAGCTGTCAGCTGGCCAAAGAAGATACCACACACAAAATGGAAGGTATTATGATTCTGGAAAAATGGAGAGCCCAAATATATAAAACTGATTTCAGGCCATCATTTCCAAACTAGAGTTTACTTATCCACCTTATCCAAGCAGAATTCGGGAGTAATGCACCTAAAGTAAAAGATACACTGTCCCTCATTCTCAGACAGCAAATACAAGTCAAAGCTGCAAGAATTAAAGGGAACAGGCAGCTTTAAATTAGTACTGATAGACGCCCTCTTGCTGATTTTGAGCAAATCAAAATAATGCTACCATTATACATTATCACAGTGTTTAATGAGGGCTGATACCAGTACAGTCCAGCTTGTTACAAATGGTCTTCTGTCTACTACTTTGTTGTCAGTAAGAGAAATGGTGACTCACTTCCAGACTTGGCCATACAGTCACACCTCTTTCTTGGCAGTGACTCTGGTCATCTGGTCTCCCTGAGCCAATTCAACTTGTTAAAATTATACATCCTGAGTTAGGCAAGCACCAGAGTGGCACTAGGAAAACACAACTGGGAGTGAGGCCTCTCCTTCCAGAAGTAACAAGCCACTAGGTTTTGTCAGCTATTTTGTGAAACCTCACCCACTGTGCTCCATTTCAGTGCAAAAGCAGCCATGTTTGCTTAAACGTCCAACAAAATGAGTCTTAACAAAACCTGCAGTGAAGAGCAGTAGATTTGTAGCCAATCATTTATAGCATATGACATGCAAGAGCAGTAAGAGAGGGCATAACATCTTCAAAGCTCCAGCAGCATCTGAAAGAAGACACATCATGTACTCCTCTGAGGAAAACAGCCTCTCTGGCTCTGGACCAAATGGTCCGCGGAAGCGTCACAGCCCAAGAACTGCAACGAGTACTCAGAACTGCATTGGGCCTTCACGACTACAAATATATGTACTGGTGTTTGGAAGTACCAGCAATACACAAGGTAACTGAACAGGGGGTGCTTAAGAACCAGAAACAGAAGTTTTTAATAGTCATTTTAGCAATTCACTATGTAAACGTTATCAATGATAATACAGAAAGCTTTCAACATCAAAGCACAAAAGAGGAGAAAGTTGACAGTATCAATTACCTAAAATTCCCATTAGCACTGCAGGTTCCTTGGATGGAATTTGTTGTAGAAAAGGCAAAATATCATCAAGCACAAACCATTTATCCAAGTACTCCAAAATCTTGCCTAAGCACACTAGGGAGTTTACCCGGACCTGTGAAGTATGATAAGAATTAAACAAACTCTATACTATATTTTTTGCCTAAGGAAAAAACCCAAAAACTTAAAAAAAAATAAATAAATCATAGTTAGAAGAAAACAGGTGCTACTGAAACTACAACCCTCATATCTGAAAAATCAAGACAAGTTAAAAAACCCCTTGTGTGTCAGGAAAGGAAAATACACATAGTTATACACCGCTCACAAAATCTTGGCTTTTCTGCAGGACAAACCCCATTAACATATATTATTGTGGAACACACTTCAACAATTTTTACAGTATTATTATCACAATTAAGTTGTTAACATCTTTAACTTTTAGAGTAAAAAAGTAAACAGTACTTTTGTATTTGTAAAAAGTAAAAAAAAAAACAAACTCGGAAAGAAATCAGGGCACGTTGACAGGCTTTTCTTTAAAGACACCACATCAGAAAAACCAAAGTAATTAAAGGTAATAACATTTTCTGAGGACTGAGAGATGAAATTATTAGGATACTTACAGCAAGAGAAGAAGTTTGCAAACATGCATTTTTAATTCTTGGAATTAAAGAATTTTTCATTGATGGGTAATCTATTAAATTGGCAAATGTGGGAATTATGTTTAGGCAAAGCTCCTATAAAAAAAATTCCACATAAGTTTAAAAAGCAACATGTATATTTATTATAAAATTAGTACTACTATTACTCAAGATCAAAATTAGTTTTAAAATGTCTTCTTTTGCCTTCCTTTTAAGGAAATACTTAAGGAAATATCATATTCAACTAAGCTGACCTTAATCTATCAGACTCACTTAAAAATAGCTAGAATAATAAAGCATCACAAGATGTATATAGAACCTTGGGAAAAGGATTTCAAAAAGACTATTCATAAATTTATAATAAAATATTTGGATAGTAAGAATATCTTGCATTTTCACAAAACACCTTCATAGAAAAATCAACTTCTATTACTTCAAACTGTAACATCTTCCTACATAAGTCAAGCAAATCTGAGTAAGCACTATCAACAACACTGCAGCAGCACAAGGATAGGCCGAAAGATAAAAAAGCCTATCAAGATTAAACACACTTAAGCAACAGAGTCAAAAAAACAAACCCAATTTCAGCCTAATCTCAAAAAATAAGAGAGACAGGAATATTAAATATATGTTGCGAGTAAATACCCGAGTAACCAAACTACTGATGCAGAAAAAAACTCATGCCAGGTATTTAGAAACAAAGACCTTTCTCCATAATATTGCAAAGGCTTTGCAAGGGTAAAAATCACATCTGATTATCCAAATCCTTTAAGAAATATTTTGCCTGCTTATCTCCTCCTCCCACTCCTGAATATCTTTGGGTAACCGGAAGTTAATTCCAGTAGAACGGTTTAAAAATAAAAAAGAACCTTAGAAAGGCAGAGAAAGCGTAAGGAGAAAAATCAAAACATGGATACATAAAAACATCACCAGAAGGTATATTAATATGATTTTACAGCAAATCGGGTCTTCCAAGGTAACTGTCAACACACATGTTCTTACCAGTAGGAACTCAGAATAAGCCACCTCTCCTTGACTGGTAAAAGCATGCCTGCCTGCACAGTTTCATTCACTTTTTGCTATGGCGGCTAGTAAGAATTTAGGATAAGAGCATTAGAACAACAGTCAAGTGGTTACTCCCTGGAAAATAAGGGAACTAAATTTTATATTACTAAAACAAAATTTCTTTAATAAAACATTCACCTCTTTCAACATTCAGGAATATTGCATAGCTTTATCATTTTTTTTTTTTCAAGTAAACACACACGAGTATAAAAAAAGTTGGCACATCAGTTTAAAGAAAAGAGAAAAAAATTGTTTTAGATAAAGACTGCAATAACTATACCTGGATCTGAATTGAAGGTGCTTCCAGGGCTCTATAAACCATTGGTAGGACACTGTTCTTTATTTCATCTGGTGGTGTTTTGGTTAGAAGCAAGTCCATTTTTTGCAAGAAGATCAACAAGATCTATGAAAAGAAGGACAATTCAGAAGCCAAAAGTTTTAACTCCAGAAACACAGACTTACAATTTAACGTGTGCTGTATCATATCATAAAAAGTTCAGAAGTTTTCTTGTAACTCAGTAAATGTGACCACTTACCATGTTGCTTGCCTGAAGGCATGAAAGACAAAAAAAACTTTGACATATTATTGCATTTTAAAAAAAGCAAACACAAATCAAACAAAATATGCATGTTTAGACTGATCCTTCTGAAATAAGAAATCATAATGGCTAAGGAAGGAGTTCTTGTTTCTATTTATAACATGGTCTTTGGTTAAAATCTACCCACAGAAAATCTTTATACATCAGTATTGAAAAAACTAAACTTTCAAGAAACTATGGCTTAAATGCTGTCCTCCAAGCATTTGACGACAACTTCACATATAAAAGCTGTATTCCATCTGTATCTGGGAAAAAAATAGGGACAGAATGAAAAGAATATTACAGCTACTATAGGGACACAAAATACCTTTATTCTATTTCACATGGAAACTGTGTATCATAGAATGAAAAATCCCAAGCAAAAAACATTCACATCACGTTAACCTAAAAAGCAACACTAGAACAGCACATTTACACAGTGGGATTCACCTCACTTAGGCTTAGCCATCCAAAACTTAGCTGCTATTCTATGTTACCCATCCAGGCTCAGTCTCCAATACAGAGAGCTACATAACTCAAGACTGATGTCTCATCTCAGATAGGTGAGACAACTTGCTACAGGTGACACTGACTATCCATTGGTGTGTAGACTCCTTTTGAAAAATCGGTTAGACTAGATGGATAAATTGTGGTAAATGGTATCATATTAATAATAAAAAGCCAAGTGTTTTATGGAAGGAAAATATTTCAATTTTTAAGTCTAAAAATACATAGCAATCAGTGCTTGTATGTTTAATAAATAGAAGCATCAAAGTGTAGAAACACAAGTCTACCAAGACCACATTCCAAGTTTCCCCCTTTCATTTGCTTTCCTTTACAGGGAAAAGAAATAAATTCTCTTACACTGCATCTAATCTGTGTTTTCTATTGTTTATTTATAATTACCTAAACTGTAGACATACACACACAAACTCATTCATTTATTCCAGGAACACTGATTCTGATGCAACATCCCCAAATTTGGGAGAATTAAGGTGAGATGGACCAGATCAGTTTTAGACTTTGTAATTATTCTTGAATAAAGAATTTTTATTTGTCCTAAACTTGGCTTTTTGAAGCCTACATGCGCTCGTAACACTGTTCTCTTGTCTAGCAATCCTGTAATACTGTGGCATGACAGTTTCTGTACTAGTTAAATGTATAGTTTTGGAGAAGGATCAATTGATATTTTTTGCAAATTTGAAAAGGACATGAATGAAACGTTATTTAACTAGAAAAGCTCCTTTGAAATAAGAACCAGATGTTGAACAGGTAAGAAGCTGATTTTAAGTTAAACACTGTACTGTACAGTCATTTAGATTTCACAGAAGCAGTTCATCTGTTTTCCACTGGCTTTCAATGCTTTTCAACTAAGATAACATAAAGCTGAATCGTTTTTGATCTCTCTCTCTAAATGTTCCAATGAATCCCTTTTATTTTTAGCCTTCTACGGCCATATGTAATACTTTTTATCTATGTAAGTAGAACCTACGATGTTACAGTCACAGATTCACACACCCCACCTAATAAGCAAGCAGCAGCAGTTGCACTCTCAACAGTAATGCTAAGGACATGCTTCATTGAACAATACGGTACTTGCCAGGATACACTCTGGTGTACTGAACTAGAATATGAATTTACAGCTAACTCACTGTGGATTGCCCTAGATATAAATTAAGCGCTGAGAAGCTATGTCAGAGTAAGCTAGGATGTTAATTTACAGCACATGTTACTCCACGCCAACTCCCAACTAATTCCAAGACATGAATGAGCAGTTTAACTAAATATTCCATTTCCATATTATACATTCCCTTGTGCAAAGACATTGTAAACATTGGATAACAATTTCTTCATACTGAATTACAGCAGCTTCCCTATGATACATTCACTTCCTAACTCAAGTATCCTACGAAAGCCAAGCAACAGGCCCCTCATATAAATCTAAAACATCTTGAGAGGGCGTTCGGAAGAAACACAGACACCTTCCCCATCCGCCCCTCTTCATGAGTTACAAACACACAGGAACTGGATGTTTTTGCCTTGCACAAAGACAGTCAGACCTGGAATTCTGTCCTCTGGCACTCTGAAACTTTGTATTTTTTTCCAGAATTCCTGGTACATTAACTGTCCTAGATTACTTAAACAAACTTTGCCATACTAAAAAGACCACAGAAATAATAGTGGAATAACTCATCTAGTATTTAGTGTGCATTAACAAAAAAATTAACATAAGAATTTAATACATAGTGTCTAGAATGCTACAGAAAAACTTCACAAAGCTCATGCTTTATGAGTTGACCCCAAGTCTGTATTTTGCTTCCCTCATTTCTCAAGAAATAAAACAGCTCTTGTGCCTGTTATACTCCAGATATAACTGAGATACAAACTTCTTGCAGTGAGGATTGTTTCACAGATTTGACGTTAAAGGTAGCAAAACACAATGTTACCTTTTAGTATGAAACAGCACAAATAAGATGTTCACTGGCTTTTGGTCGGTTAGATGTTTAATTCTTTCAAGACAACAACAAAGGTAACATAAAGCCTAAGTGTACCAAAAATAAACTGCATTAAGTAGTTCTATTTTATGAGGTATTCTCAGTTACACAGTTGTCCCTTTTCCCCCCTTCCCAGTATAATGAGAGTTTTATGATCCCGTTTTCTGAAACCCAGAAATAAAAGGTCTACTTGCTTATTCCTATGTGTATCTTCCCCCTTAAGTGCTCTGCAGAGAAATAATAGCATCCAGCAGTAAACCAAGGTGAGCTAGAAAGAATGTGTAGCTGCCTTTTATCTGTTGAGGCACAATGCCTCACTTAGTGACAGAATTCTCAGGAATCATCATGCACATAGTGTTGACAAAGGATGAAAGTGTTTCATTCCTTTACAGTAATGATAATGTCTTACTACTTTTATGCATGTAAACAACAGAAAAAAACCAATATTTTACTTACATAATACCTTTGCCAAATAAAATGAAACAAATTTCACAAATTCGTGCACAGCCCTCAAACAAACACTGGTTTATATCATCAAAAAATAGCACTCTTAAAAGAGTGTCAAAGTTACAACTTTTCCACCTCATGATCCCAGTGTCAGCAATCTGGATACAAGGAAAAATTATAAAAAATCATAGGTTCAGCTACTGGTTGAATACACGCAAATATTGTACTGTACAACCTCGCTCAGATTGGCTAGATAAGTGATAAAATGTTTACAAATAACCTTCTACAACCAATCCAAAATAAGAATTGAGTGATAAAACTAAATGTTTTCTTTTTCGCCAATCTAATATCATCTATAAATGCAAATACACCCTCAGAAATCTCATCTAAAAAAGCAGGGGTAGAGGCTTTGTGAATTTCCTGGAAAAAAAAAAGCATTTTATATGAGTCAAGACTGACTGCCTGGACAGCTACACAGCAGGTTCGGCAATCTGTGTGAAGCTGGAAAAGGGAAATAGAACAATTAGTCATTTTCAGGGAAAAAAAACATGGAAGAAAAAAAATGTAATCTGAACAATATTAACATACCTGGATTGGTTCTTGCTGCTTAAAAACAGGACCAAGATCAGGCAGAATAAGCCTGATATATTCTTCTTTGGTGCATTCCTCAGCAATTAGGAGAACATTAGGCAAGACAAAGGGTACCATATCGGGATTCACAAATTCAGAAGTCAAGCAAGGCAAAATTCGCTGAATGATAACGCGCTAAAAGAAAAAAAAACAAGCATGCATCACATTGTACGGCATTGCGGTAAGTTACTACCGGGCGTGCCAGCTCAACTGTTTTTGTATTAACCTGAAGTTTACAAAAAAGCAGACAGACAATTTTCAGTTTTGATCTCCTATTTTCACAGTATACTCTAGGTAATTTACACTGTGCTACTTTGCTTACATTTCCCTCTTTGCACTCAAAACATAACTGGAGACTATAAGGTCAACAAAAGGCAACTAATTGTACAGGAAACAGGACTCTCAGCCACATTCATGAACTAGTTGAACCTTATTCTGTATGCTTTCTTTAAAAAAGACCCTAAAAAGACCCTTAAAAAAGACCCTATCAGCCCCCTGCCCCGATCAGTTTTTCAGTACCCCATCACTCACTGAACAAACACATAATCCTACTATATACCTCCCTGTAAAACTCCAGGTACATTCCCTAAATGCTATTCTGCTGATGAAACAGGTATTTACAATGTGAATGCCTATTGTAGAGTTAGACATCCTTAAATGCTTTTAAAGTCAATAGAGACAAATACACAGCTCAAGGGCACAGTCCCTTCCCTCATAACTTATAGTTTCAAGACAGAAAAAAAGTTCATGCCCTAAAGATGATTAGGTCAGTAGTATCTGTCTAAAGTTAGGTGATATACATCCCACCTATTTCCAAATTCAAAGTATCCATGATTTGTGATCAAAGGAAAAAAAATACTAAATTAAGAAGAAGAGAGAATTAAACATGGAAGTCTGAATTTTGCACTGTGTAGTTCAAAACAAATTTAAAAATAAAGAAATTTAATGCAATTGGTTGAGAAGCTCAGCTATTCTGTTATATATTAAACTAATACTATTTTTTTTCTATCACATCTGTATTATGCCTTATATAAATTAAAGAATACCACAAAAGGAAAAGGAGTCAGTCTAGACATAGGGTCTAACACTACACAGAAGTCTCTAATGACAGACACTTGCCCTTGAGGTTTCTGGGCACTGCTAGCACAAGAAAGCACTTTGTTGAGGGAGGGAAGCTTTGCATTATTCAACGTTAAAGTACTGTCTTGCTATGAAAAAACTTGAAGCAATCTTACTGGGAGAAAAGGTGGGAAGATGACTTCAAAGAGCTATGATAGCATCTGGAAACACAGGGAAAGCCTTGCAAGTGGAGAGAAGACAACTCCCTTTCAAAGCGGGATGAACTACAAGGGAACACGCAAATGATGGTTCCTTACACACACTGATAGCACAATTTGCCTTTTTCCATTTAAAGAATTATTGATGGCTGAGTAATATTTCCACATCAGTTATTTTCTAATCTCCCCTTCTTTCCTACTACTCTATTTGGACAGTCTCATGGCAGTCTATTACGGCACAACGCTATACAAAGCCCAGCATTCCAGGATTTAGAATGTTAATAGACGGTCACATATTTTTTAAACTCACTATTTCAAGACATCATACAGACATACCTTAGGTAGTTTTGGCAGAACCTTTGGTAGCCCTTTAAAAAACTGTGATTTCTGAAGGTTATCCCTTTGAAATAATGAATCAAAATACTGAAGCGTCATCGCTCCTACATCATCAAAGAATGGTATCTAAAAATAGGATAAAAAGCTTGTGATCTGGAGGGAGACAACATTATCACTGTTAAAAGATTCCAAAAGATAATGTATTTACCTTTTCAATGCACTACAGCAAACCTTTACAATGACATGCCTGCAACTAACAATTAGAAAAGTACATTTTCACATACTAAGTAGTATAATATTCACAGATAAAGGTTGATTATTAAGACAGAATTTTCCTAGCATTTTAAAGAAATGCATGAATGTTATTTGTACCTAAGTTAACTTACTGAATATGAAATAATATTTTTCTACAAAAAATGAAATAAAAAGTAAAATCCTTGATTAAAAGTTCTCCTATGAATAATTATGCTATTTAATATTACAACAAAGGATTACCTAGGTAGGCCATCCAGATCTAGCTACCACCCCTGGAAACTTACAATGAATCAACAAGCATTTATATGCAATAAATGTGTAATTATATAAGTTTCTCGCCAATGTTCAGACCCACTTGTATATCCTATCCGCTACACTCTCTCACATGATCTCCCACATTTGTGTTACTTCAGCAAACAGGGCAGAGGCCTCCTTAAGTATTGCGTAACAACGTATATATAGACTGGGCTTATAAAGATGGCACCAACGAAACACCAGGGGGTTTCATCGATAGCTGTGGTATATTATATTAATACCGATAGAGCTGCTTCATTGTTAATGGAAAGACTGATAAAAATGCATGATGATAACAAGATCGTTTATATAAAAATCCATCCCCTAATATTCAACTTTCAGTTAGCAGATGAACGGAAAGAGTAGACAAGTGTCTATCCCAGACGTACACAGACTGGAATAAAAAGTTCTGCATTAAAAAACTCGCAAGGGTAAGATTCCTCCTTCCTGCTAGCTCTCAGTTTTAGGGAGGGATATATCAAACCTCACAGGCTCGCAACAGGTAAGCTAAAAAGCACAGACTCTCAGACTCTTTAGACACTTGTTTTCAGTTGAAAAATTTGCGCAAAAAGAAAGGATATGAAAATGTTTAAAGAAGCTCTGCCTTAAGGCACAAAGGGAAGCCAATAAGAGTTGGGCAATAAAGAGAATCAGAAAAGCAGATCAGAGTAGAGCAATACAGAAGAAAAGAATCTATCAGCCGAGAATTCAAGCTAGTCTGCACTGTGGACTTACATTCTGTCTTCTAGGCCACACACCAAAACGTATGTGACCGTGGAATTCTACAGAGGTTAACACAACCTAGTTAAAACTTGCAAGGTAAACTTGCCCATGTCAAGCTCCATTTTAGCTCACGTTGTGCTGGCCATTACAAACTGCTTTTAGAACTACCCTGTAATTCAGTCTGCAGTGCAGGCATGGTAAAAGAGACCTAACACCTTTATAAAACCATACTGCTCAATACAACCATTTACAGATTTGTTTGTTGTAGTCCTTCAGACAGGTAGTTGATACCCGAGTAATATTTGCCAATTTCCTCACTTCCCATCTTTCAGCATACATGTCAGCAGAACCATTACCTGCTCCCCCTCCCTTCTTCATTCACTATTTCTTCCAACTGTTAAGACACTGATTTCTCTCTCTGCATACAATCTTTTTATATGTCAGGAAAAGAAGAAAATTGTTCAGCTAAGCAAATCTGTAAGTAGGAACCTGAAAGGCTATCAGATATGAGAAAACAGGGTGTAAGACAAAGAAAGAACCATGCTTTGAAGTTGTACTTTCAGATAGGAAAGCAGAGGAAGAGTTTGTCAAATTGAAACTTAAATTACCCTACTTTGCAATTAATTTTTGCTTTATTATGGCAAGTAACCTCCGAATATATTTTAAGCTATTCTTCAGCATATTTAAGAACACACTGAAAATCATAAGCCAAAAGTTAATCCTTGAGTTTATTGCCCTTTATCATTTTATGGCTTTAAAATCCTTCCAATACAGTTTTAAAGACCAAATTGTATTAAAACATAGCATAGAAAATACTTCCAAATGTACTGGAAAGCAACAAAATAGTGTTGCATTGAAAGATTATTCTAAATTCTGTCTCGGCACCCACTTCTTCCATAGTAATAAAGGTCAGCATAAGGACAACTTTTTGGCATCAACATCATTATTTCCAAAATAGTTAAAAAATATTTAACATTTCAACAAAAATTAAACAGAAAAACACTTTAAAATAGCTCTATTTTTTCTACAAATCAAACAGTGTTTTCCCTCCTTCCTATGGCTACGGTATTTTCCATGAACTGACCTTGGTCATTTGATCTGCGTCTGGTCTGACTGCTGGAGCTACATTTAAGAGTAGCTTTACATGTTCACGCACCTCCTCTGGTATATTCTGAAGAGTACTGGCGCTTAAACGGCTCAGCTGCATAAGTAATTTAAGCACATGACCATGAAGTCAGAAAATCCTGCATATAACTACTTTCAATACACAATAGGACTATACTTTGTCCTCTTGATGCTTTCTCTACCCACACCTTTGATATCCCTCCCTTCTACCCTTTTACAACAGATTTGCTTCAGATCCCTCATAGTCTTCTTTCTGCCTCCCAACAGCCTACTTGCTTCAGGTCACATTCCCCCACTTCCAACTTCTCATTGTGTTCACATTATCAGAGAACACAAACCCAGTGTTTTTGAACAGATACATATTGTTATGAGGTGTTGCCTACAGACATGAAAACAAAGTACACACAACTACAGCAATGGGCACCCAAAGAAGTCATGACAAAGAAAACTTGCATATGAACGTACATTACATCAGCTGATCCAAGTAACTGTCTTGTTAATACTCACAGTCCACAAAGGATGTAAAATAGCTAATAGCTAAGTGGATACCAACTACAATGTTAAGTGATCAAATCACTCTGAACTCAGCCATCTTCAACGGTCCTACATAGGTCATTCAGTGCCTTGTGTTTCAAATTGTTCAGCCCAACAGGTACTTATTCCACAAGACCAGCATTCAACAGGTTTACAGAGAAATCAGGCAAAAAAATTGAATTTGAAGTTTATAAAGTTGGTACATGTAAACTTCTCTATTTTTCTAGGATACTTTTTTCTTGTTATAAAGATAGCATGCAAGGTAAGATACTGTTACTGCATTGTTTATGTTGGAGCACAGATATTGTGTTCCAAATATTTAAATCTTTTAAAACAGTAACCTTTCAAATATGAAAATCAATGAATAATAGTCACAAATAGAATAAATACCTGATCCAGTTGTCTACTAAAGCTTTTATAAATATCCTGCTTGTTGACCTCAAAAATTGGTTTCCCTTTATTAAACACTGCATACATAACAGCTCCTAGAGAGTACATATCACTGGCTGTCTCACAGCTCACAGAGAGAATATATTCTGGTGCCAGATATTCAGGATTTGGAAGACACAAGGATGGCAAGTTTGGATCCCATTCCTTACAAGGGAACTTCGGCTACAAGGGAAGTAAAAGAAAGTACATTTATTAGAGATTTTTAAAGAACATGTTAAACAAGAAACTCGAGCAGCAAAAAATAATTAAACTATTCAAATTCAGTTATGAATGAAACAGAAATAGAGTAAGGCAAAACTGTTTAAATCCTGTGTCTGTAGCTTAGAGTGATTAGCTGATGCAGTTAAGTCTGAATATTAGAGCTGGGAAGCGTAACGTAAAATCAAAGCACTACAGCAAGAGGGAAACATGAGCTATGATGGGAACTCATTTGAGGAGGTAGCAACCAGGCACTGAGTGGATGCAACAGACTAAATTAGGTAGCTTTGCATGTCATCCAACATGCACAGGCGGCACAGGCTTCAGCCTCTGTCTGAAACCATCATGAGTCTATTTTGACTCCACTGAGCCAACTCAGGCTCTTTTTCTGTGATGACCAAAGGCAGCACTTCAATCCAGACCTGTGCCATTTGTTCAGACTTCCTGCCAACAAAATATAGAGGTAAATATGAAATAAATGATTCTGTACTGAAATGCAAGGTCATGAAACTGGTTTCAGACAAAGATCTGAATGTGAAATTTAATGATGATAAATATAAAGATCTATTACCTCCTGTTCAGAAGGATTTGTTGACTGGATACAAAAATCAAAACCCATGATTTTCCATGCTCCACTCTTATTCAAAATTATGTTTTCAGGAGTAATATTTCCATGAACCATTTTCACACTGCTATGCAAAAAAGACAAGCCTTCAGAAACCTGTTAATAAAAGATTATTTTTTCAGGTTAGATGTTTCCCCAAATATCCTAGAAGACATCTACAAAAACTCTGTTCCTGTGGTCATGGTTAAATTGGTAAGTCAATTAAGAAACTATTTTTCACCACTATTTTAGACTATGTCTTAAAAATTATGTATGAAGAAAATGAAACACAGATGGGTAATCAGCAGATGAAATTACTAATGCCAATTAGCTACCGCAGCATAAGAACAAAAATGCTTTTCAAAGCTGATCAATATATTCACCAAATAAAACCTGGGAGCTACTGTTCCTCCACAGAAAGTAAAGAAAAGATTCACATATGAGAGGCAACTGTAGCATAGACATTTACATGGAAAATAAAATTTATTTGCTTTTGTATTTTCCATGCCACAATAAGCAAAACCAGCAGCAAGTTAGAGCCTCCAGTGTTCATCCTCTCTCATACTTACAGTGATCAGGGCACTATTATCTCTCACTTCCCAATTGATTTACTATAGGCAGAAAAAACTTTGGCAGTTTACAAACTTTATAAAACAATTAATACTAAAACCACAAGAAAATTATAAGGACAACTTGTGTCACACCTGAAGCAAACCATATTTGGTCTCCACATCATAAAGTTTGTATTCTTTAATGTCCGTTGGTAAAGGAGAAGGTAGATTGTCCCAGCTGCCAAGAACGTTAGCTAAACTTGCACAGACTGGTTCTGTACAAAATGCCAAGCAATCCCTGTAGGGGAAATACATAAAAATATTTCTTGTAAATAAATGTTATAAATCTCTTGACTGTGAATAATGACCATACAAACATCATATTACACATTACCAGAGCACTTGGTGCTACCTAAAACTATGTTATATTTCAGGTTTTGAATTCTTTTAAGTAATACTATATACTAAAGAGAAATACATAAATATCTGAAGTATTAAAAAAATATTAGAATTAATTTATTCTCTAACATTCATATACACCACTAATGGTGGACACAATGCTTCGTAAAAAGTGTAGCAAAACAATGCTTTTCTTGTCCTGATTCAGGAAAATCAAACACATAATTCTTACTATTATTAAAACTTGTAAAACGAGGCTTTTAGCTGTGCCTAAAACTGTCACGTCCCTGACTGAAGCAATACTTAATGTGGTCAGACAACGATCAGAAACAAAATTAACAAAATGTAAGGTAGCACCTTATACATTTAGTTACAGTTAAGGTATGGAGGATAGAAAATACCTAGGGAACAGTTATTCAGTGTTTTTCATAACATAAACTCTCTGAATTCTGTTGTTTTGGGGGAATAAAAAGACGGTTCTTTATTTCTTATTTTAGGAGCTAATTAAATAAGGACTTAAACCAGAATAACGGAAGGATGGGCCAAATCAAATTAAAGCATGGAATACTGCAGATGCTGATGTCTGCCATACAGTGCAGCTTCTTTAACAGTTCCCTGAACAATATCAAAATGAAATTCAGAGTAACATAATAAAAAGAAAACAAGTTAAAAATAAGTGATGGCCAAAAATGCATACGCTTTGGGAAAAACTGCAGCATATGGAATGTCTAGTAAATTAAGTATCTGCGACTCTTCACACTACTACTATTTTTAATGGGTAGTAATGACATTATGAGTGAACCACTAACTTGTTTTTTTTTTTATCTTTTTCTCCAATAACGGGTTAAACACAGAACAATACTGCTCATCTGTGGTGCTAGTTGAATTCAAGTCCAGCTTAAGTAAATGTATTTATATAAAATACTTAGTATAAATTAAGTTATTCATTATATAAATGCATGCAAAAATGTAAACATCTTAATATATATAAAATATATACATTAAATATATTTAATTTGGAGTAGAAACATTCTATTAATACTTGAAAAGCTACCTCCACACTACGGTCAGGAAGGTACGGCCTTTCTTTCTATATTCACTTCAGCTGTGCAGGTACACCAAGTATCCCTTTGCCTCGCAAAGGAGGAATACGAGGTGATTTGCAAAAAGTTCAACACAACTGTATGTTACTTTGGAGACGCAAAAAAAAAGCAGGTACAGTCTAGCCAGACAGAGCTCACAACAGAGTTCTTCAAGAATAAGCACTCTGGAAAGACCCAGCAATTCAAAAGAAATCTCACAGCACCCTTGCACAAGGTTACACACATAAATATTCTAAGCAAACTTTTATGAAACCCCTACAAAATCCGTTACACCAATTTCTGGCACAACAAGCAGCTGGACAGGTTTGGTGCTACTAGTGTTTTTACCAGTAGCTGAGTACAGAGAGAACAACAATTGGAGCAAAGCATAGGACATTTCTATAAACTTACAAACGAGAACTCTGACATAACTACACTGTTAATGTTATTCAAAAGGCTTAAATTCTTCACAAGAAGAACACCAAAGCTTTCTTAAAACACCAAGGTATGAAACTAAGCCTTTTCTTCCGAAGTGCACAGTTCAGGGAAAAAAAAAATTACAGGCGCAGTTGCTGGGTCAACTGAAATAATATGACAAATTTAGGAAGAAGCCTGGGGTATTCAACTGAAATAATATGACAAATTTAGGAAGAGGCCTGGGGTCTCTAGGACTCTAGGATTCACTTGTACACTATGACTGAGATCATCCTAGGCCATTTAGCATGTAATACTTTATATACTGTTGTAGGGTACTGAAAGTTCTCTTCAACTACCTAATTAATCTTCCTTAGGCTTTTGTGAGGGGCATACTGAACCACAGGGGCAATGACAGCTTTGAACTTTTGTTAACACAAAACGTGTTCAGTGCTGGAGGAAAGACATATATGAATACGCGATTGACATTTAATCCAAGAAATCTTTCCCAAACTAGGCATCACAAAGATGAAGAAGCATTCCTACAGCATTCTCAGCTTCTAGAAGCCACTACATTTGGAAAAATGCAGGTTAGCAGACACAATCAAAAATGTAGACATTCGAAAGGTAACGTACACAAATCTTTATTAGGCTACCATCTAGAAAAAAATACTTCAGAAAAAAACCTCTAAAACCTTCATGATCTTCCTCGGTAGGATCAGGAGCAGCTTTCTATTTTAATGTGAAACCTTCATTTTGTTTGTTAGATTTCAGTGTGCCGTTATCACTACAGCTGAATGATAAATCTGTAAGACTAACCCATTATTGTGCCTAGTGACCAACCTTGCAGAAATCAAACAAGCACTACCAAAACACACTGAATTTTGTCTCCCTCAATTGCCATTTGAGGACCTTTTAAACATATGTGGCCACAACACATATAAATTACTAAAAAAATCTCCAACTTCACACATACTAAGTACATACCACTCATAAATGGAACAAATGTATGAACAACCTTTTGAAAGAAAACAATTTTAAAGAGTTCTTTAAAAGTTGAATTAATTGAACTACCAAATTCTCATCTGTAAGGGTCATGCAGACTTATAGGTGCAACTGGACTAAGATCATGCAATAGGTTATTAACTAGATCCACCAGATTCCTATCAGAACTGCATCCTATGGCATGGGGGAAAAAAAAAATCTGAGGTAAGGTGAATACCATTCTCACACAAGTCAATACAGCGAACTTGAGTTTCACCAGACATAAGTGTTGGATGTTCCAGATATTTTACATCCAATAACAAAACAATGATTAAGAAAGTCTGTTCTCAACTTCACGACAGCTTACCTGGATTCTTCTAATGGATGTTGAACAGTCAGTAGTCGAGGGTGTCGAAGCCTGGTTAGCTGTTGAACACCTCGTTTTAAAGAGTCAATAATCTGATCCTTTTCAAATTTTTGATACTTGTCTATTAGCTTCTTATCAAAGACAAAAACAGCCACTTCCTAGAAATAAGCAATGAAATCCACTCGTTATGTAACACAGCCAAAATCCAAGTCTATAGACAATTACATACACAGACATTTTTTGAATCAACAGTACAATCCCAACAATGCAATAAGTATACGCATACCGTCCTTACTTTGTCCCAGTCATAATCACAAAGGTTACTATATATAACCTCTGGAATATATATTTTAAGAGTTAAGGTACTACTGCTCCCTAGCTTACAAACAATAATACATAAACTATAACCACTATCCACACAGGAACAAAGCAGCAGATCCACAAGACAGAAATCGGCTTGATTTTAAGTAGATGAACGCATTTACATCAACAATGAACGACTACAATATTCTCAGCATATACGCATCCATTTGGCATTAAACGTATCAAATGGTGCTTTACTAAACCATGCACTTTCTCAGCATTCTGCTCCAAACCAGTACGATCTGTATTAAACTAGACATTCAAGAAAAATAATTTATAGTCACAGTAATCAATTAATCTGATCAGATCACTCACGTGATAGAACATTAAGAATTTTTTAATACTTAAACATGTGTAAAAAGAAGTCCCAGAAATGTAGTAGATGTTAAAAATAGAGAAAATAGTTATTCCAACCAACCTCTCCAAACGGAGTAGGAGAAAATTAAGAAATGCATATGAAACTTTGAAATTATAGAGATGGATGTGAAATAAAAAATTAGATTACATCACCATCTTGGAAGCCATTAGAGAGAAATAAATCAATTGAAGAAAATATGAATTAAAAATTATGCAACAGAGACTTTCTTATACTCCTACAACAGCATTACGAATAATAATAAAGGTTAGAAACCAGTAAGATATAATATGAAAACACAGTTTTCAGTCCCAAGAGGAAGTCTATGCTCTTGTACTGCACATTTTATAACCATTACTCTAGTTAAAATCTCACAGAATAGTTGATTAAAAAAAAACCCAAAAAACTTCTAGAAATAGGCTATATAAAAAAGAAAATTGTCCAACACACCAAAAATTGGTTTATATTTTTCAGCCGGTACCTTTTTCATTAAGGCATTAGGAGGTGAACGTCTATAACTAACACAACGAAGTACACTTTTCCTGCTTCTCTCCATACCAGCTCCCTGCTCCAGCCCTTAAGTGTGATGGATCAAACACTAACATTGACACAAGGCAGGGAGGAACCAATGACAGGGGATGGAAGACATACATTATATTCACTATTTAAAAAATACACATTTTCCAGTACAAAATGTGAATGTATTGAGCAGCATGTGACCAAGAAAAAAATTTCAAACTCAGCACTTCTGAAAGCACTTCTGTTTAATGACAAGTCAAAAGAATTAGAAAGTGATTTTTTTAAATTGGATAGTATAGGACATCAGCTATGGTTTGCATATTTTATGATGGCTATAAATAAGTCCTATTGGTGCTTGCTGCAATCCTGCATAGTTTGTTTGAAGTTTGACAGAATTTTTACGTATCCAAAATTAGGTCACGTATAAGTATATATATGAAATTGTAGTATTCTAGGTGTGAAAATGATTGCTATCACATTGATTTTGTAGACTTAGTTATTGTGGACTGCCAAGAATCAAAATAATTTGAGCTGTGTGACAACTTGTTCTCAGTACCTTCATCTAACACACCTGACACAAGAAGAAAGCACACAGCCATCTCTGTCTGCTCATGGACACTAAAATACTCAATGTGTTCTAACATTAACAATTCAAAATACGTCATTCTGAAATTCAGTTCCATAATCCACACTAATTTTTATATGCAGAATGCCGTATTAACAGTATAGTATCTTAATCCCCGTAAATCACCAGATATTATTGGACAAAAGAATGCAGAAGTAGCTGAGTCATGGGCCATAGAACACAGCCTCAATGCACAAAAACTACTGAAACTATATAGTACGCTTGGAAACATTTTAAAGTGTTCAAGGGTTTATGCTGCATGAACCAAAGAACACTGTCAAATTTTGATGATGAACACATTATTTCTGTTTTCCCTTTTCTGTTTTTGAAGAACTGATATTCAGCCCCAAAAAGAAGGGCTACTGACTGCAGCTGATAGGGATTCCATTTCCTGCAATTACTTTCATGAAAACTTACTGAGATGAGAGCCTGCAAAACTTACATAGTTACTACTTCTTTCCACAGAAAGGTCTAGGGGAGCTTCCACTTTATTTTCTCCACTCCATAGCTTCGAAGGAAGAGTAACTTCCTCCTGCAGATGACTACTTGTTATTTAATTCTGCAGTTGTGTCACAATTCCAACTTTATGATAGAAAAAGAAATTCAACAGAAAAAGACTAAAATATATTTAAAAATATGACTGCTCTGCACAAAGGAAGTGAAAAACTAGAGATAAAACAACCCTTACCTTTAATGACACAAATTTTCATTCATTATGTGATAGGAAGTATACACACCTGGCTCAGCACGCTCTTCTCTCAACACAGTATACTGGTAACGCTACTACCTGGGTCAGGAAGCACGGACAAGCATGAGGGGACTAGTCTGGCCACTCAAGAGATCAAAGTTTAACTCTCAGTTCTGTTCACAAACATGAGATAGTCTGCACCTTCTGCCTCACCTCCCACAGTTTTAAGCCAAGTGCTTTACTTCTAAGTGGTGTTAGGTAAAGCTCAGTGATTACACTGAGACAGTTGTATGTTATGATGTACCAAGTAAATATTTGCCAGGATGAAGACCATCATGAAAATATCTGTTGTTACTGCCAAGAATTTAAAATTTTTAACATGACTCACTGAAAAGATCAGTCTTTAAGTTCTACAATGCCTTTGCCAAGAAATTAAATGTCATCTGTGCAAATAGGAGTAAGCATTGCCCACAACATGCAAGATATGGGACATGGTTTAACTGGGCTATAATACATCTAGAACACTTTTAGACACTGAACAGAAAAGTGTAAATCAGTTCTTTCTGATTCTGCTTGTATATTTCAGGGGGATTCTGTTGACCATTGTCCCAAACACCTGGTATTTACTAATACAGCCCTTCATAAAGTTTTTTTATCCTTGTAGTTCTAATCACTAAATACCACAACTTCCTTTTCTCAGCTTCTTTGGGCTGTTTTCCTTCATACTGGGTCTGGCTGAGATGCAGTTAACTTTCTTCATAGCATCCCACATGGGCTGTGTTTTAGTTCTGTGGCTAAAACAGTGTTGATAACACACCAGTGTTCTGGCTGTTACTGAGCAGTGCTTGTACAAGGTCAAGGCTTTCTCTTTTCCCTGCTCTGCCCCCACAGTGAGTAGGCCATGGATAGGCAGGAGACTGGGACGGGACAAGGCCAGGACAGCCAACCCTAACTAGCCAAAGGGCTATTCCATATCATATAACATCACTCAGTGATAAAAACTAGGGTAGAGGAAGAAGGGGGTTTTGGGCTTCCAAGGTGGCTGTTGTTTGGAGACTAGCTTGAGCATCGGTCTGCCTGTGGGATGCGGTGAGCAATTTCCTTTGGTTTGCTTGGTTTTTCCCCCACCTTCCATCACCTATTAAACTGTCCAGACTTTGATCTATGACTTTTCTTGCTTTTCTTCTTCCTATTTTCTGCTCCCATCCTGCTAGGGGTGAGGAAGTGAGTGAGTAGCTGCGTGGGTGCCTAGTTACTGGTTAGGGTCAACGTACCACATCCTCTGTCCATTTGCAATCCTGCATTACTTACGAAACACACCAGTTTGAAACACACACCGACAGTTTAAAATTCGTGTCCTTATTTACCCACATAGACACATTATAAACCAAAAAGAATGCAAAACTCCTGCTCCTATCTTAGCCAATGCAACTCCTAAAAAAAAGGGGGGGCAGGGGAGTAAGGGGGAAAGAGAGAGGAAAAAAAAAAAAAAAAATTCTCCCTAAACAGAAAAAGGCAGCCAAGGCATGTCACACTTTCTCTCCTGCCCCCAAGAGGAAGGCAAGAATTCAGAAACACACTGGGTTCGCATGTCAAAAAGAGATGCAAACATAACTATAAAGTATTCCTTAAATTAAAGGCTCTAAAAGCTGTGGAAATGTAATGATAATGGAATAGCAATACCTCTTCCTATTCATCGCACTGCATAGTGAGAAATTGTGTTAACAATACCTGTAAAACATTCAAGCACTACAGTGATGAATGCTACAGAAGCTCAAACGCTTCTATTTTCAATGACACATTGAGTAGTGTGGAGTAATAATGCCAGAGACTAAGCACAGAACAAGGAAGGAAAAAAAACACAAACCATAAAATGTTTAATAACTACAGTTCACCATGTATCCTGTGAACTCAATGATCTAGTACTGTCATGAAAAAAATTAAATCATGAGACTAAATGATGAACATAAAAGTAAAGGAAATTTTAAGGTAGCAGTCAAGAGTGCTTGAATTTAAAACTTTATGTTTGTTTTCCTTTTCATTTTTGTTCTCTATTTTACCCATACGCACTCACGCATTTTTTTAATGAATACTCAAATTTAACTCAATATGCAAACACATGTTGTTTTACCAAAGCCTCCCACTGTGCAAAGCAAAATAGTCTCTGAATTAAAATACTGGAAAGCATTCCAGTATTACTCCGGTCTTTTGCCAGAAAAAGATTTTCTTCCAGCTTTTGGGAAGCTTATTATTGGAAGCTTGTCAATGTTTTTTTACAACCCTACTTTCCCAGCAGCTTGTTGCAGTCATAAGGTATTGTCACGAATGAGTGCACTCATTCACGACAGGTACATGATACAACTATTTCAGTTTTTAAATGAATTAGCCTTTAAAGTTTGAATAGTAAGAAGCTCTCATATCAAAGCTACTATGCACAGACAAAACAACAGAAAACTGACTTACCTAACATTAATATATTTCATACTACCTCAATAAAAGTTAAACACAACAGTGTAAACCATTATCTCCTTAATTCTGTGACCTTACCCTATTTCTTTATGATTGCACTCTCTAAGCAGAAGTACAAATGCCATATTATGCCCCAAAAAAAAAGTGCACAAAGACTAAGTTAACAAATCCAAGATGAGCAGAAATACATACTGTAAAATTAGCAACGTGTTACTTCATGTATACACATTTAATCAGAAAGACTCATAAATCTTTCAATAAAAACAGAAGCAAATCAGTTATCAAATAGCACCAGTCAAACATATGCACACAGGTGATTTCCTCACATTCTGTTAGATTATTATGCAGTCACCTACAAAGTAAGCAAGAAAAGACAAGACACATTAAAAAAAAAATGTAAACATTCAGAAATGGAGGAAAACCAGCAAGGCAGGAACCAGGCGGAACTCTGAAAAGAGGAATAAAATCATACATATCTACTGTCACAGGAGACGGAACATTTGTAACTGTCCACTGACTTAAAATAGGAACCAAATTATTCTTAACTTTGTGACCAACTGACCAAAGCTGACCAACTTCTCTAAGACTGCTGACCTCCACTTGTCCTGAGAACAAAGATTCCTGATCAGCTCTACTGCTGTAACGTTAAATTTAGCTGTTTTATCTGGCTACGACGACTTAAATTATTACTTGTGGTGTTGTAAAGTAACAACAACATGGGCAATTAAGATCTTACATCTTCCTCATCTGATTATAATACACACTTTAGGTAAAAAAGATAAGCGCTCATAGTTTCAAATTACATATACGCACTTGGAATACAGCAAATATGTGCATTACTTCACAAAAGTGACTGCTACCATCAGAAAATGACAGCCAGCCACTTCCGTATTGCCCAGCCAACATTGAAAAGTACATGCAAAAGAAACACAAAATAATGATGAAGAACAGATATATTGCAATACAACACAACATAAACTGTCTGTACTGCTGCGTAGTTTTATTTTGCAATGGCAAACTGAATGTTGACATGACGTTACCTGACTGATAATATTAATAATGAATGGTAATTGCATGTCAAATCACCAGCCATTTAAAATTCCCTGCAGTACAACTGCTGCTGTATTTTTAAGGAGTAATGATGTGGTACAAATGTACAGAAGTTAGTCAGAGTTTACAGAGATAGTGTAGGATCATATGGCAACACTTGAGCTAAAACTCTGCAAAATCAGTGGCCAGACCACCCATTCGAAGCTTGAAAAACACGACCGACAGGAAATATGTTACATACACTCTGTCAATTAGGCAGTGAAAGAAACTTGCTACAACTCTCCAGACCTTAAAGCTACACCTGCTACAGGTCAAATGCTTACTGGGCGCAGAGATTGTATAAAACCTATCAAAACTAACATATTTTCAATGTTAGCACTTCCTTGTATAGTTGAATAAGATTAAATACCCCCAAAACCTACTGGTACATTGGGTAAATTCAGTAAATACTAGATGTATAGAGTTCTGCAACAGCTAGATAGATGCTTGAGAATATGGCAAAAGTACCTGCTTAATATTATTCAGATTCTGTCACAATCAGATCACACATCGTCCACAGATTATTTATGCTGTATAGTACATTTCTTCTCTATTTGCTGCAGCTTGTTTTCCTACCATCTAACAGACTGTATATATATTTTCCAAAGTTACTCCTTTGTGTCCATTTCTTTTTGGTACACCTGTAGCAAGCTAATTCATTGTCTAAGTGGCTTCACATTACTTCAGCATCAAGTTTAACTGAAGGCCATAACTTATTAACACTCCTATGTACTCGTTGAAAACTGTATTTCCCCTCCAAGTCTGAAAAAAAGACTTTTCACATTTCTCCAGTACAACAAAATCATTTTCTATAACAGTTCTTAAACTCTGTCTCTGACAAATCTTCTTCCGAAGTCACAATCCCATCTTCATTTACACATGTGACTTCAAGTGAGCCAAAAGTTTATATACTGGTGCTCTAAACCCTAATACTTTAAGGAAACTAAAAGTGAACAATAGTGATCTGAAAGCAGCACAGGGAAGGCACAAATCACTTCCTCCAGAACCTCCTCTATCCCATGCCTTCCTGTTACTGCATCGCATGACTTTAACCCCTCAATTTCTGTATGGCAGCTGAGCAAAAAACTAGTCTCTTTTGCTGAGAACAAATGATGGCATACTTCAAACTGTAAAAAGCCAGTACTGCTGCCAAAAAAAAGACGCAAGGTAAAACAAATCACGGAAATGATCCATGTTAAGACAAACTTCTTCCCGTCAGATCACTTTTAACTTGGATTAATTCTTGATCTTGGTCTCAAATCGCATGCTATGAATGCAGAACCACTTCTTTCCCCAGCAGCGAAGGCTTAAAGCAATTATCACCTTCGTAGCTGAGAGCATTACATTTAAATAATGTTGAGTTCTCCATTTCATTTTACTTATAGTACTACCCTTAGCATTAGTCTGCCCAGTTGGATTTCAGTTTTAAATGCCACTTACCAACTGCTACCTATCGGTCTAATGCTTATAAACTTAGGTCTTTACTTGACAACCCACCTGTTTTGTTGATTTTTTAGTTCCGTTAAATATCTTCCAAGCAAGACCATTACCACCACTGGCAATATGTCGGCCAACATCAAATTCCCTGGTAACAGGATTTCCCATGACTGCACTGGTGACATCAGCCGTTACCTTTGTAACGGTACTCTTCAATTTATTCAACATGGACTCCATTGTCTCAACTGTGCACCACGATATTATCCTACAAAGACAAGAAAAAAAAAAGCTTCACAGTCCTCTCACAATTTCTGTTAACATAAGACACACGTTGAGAACTATCACATCCAACCAAGGATCCAACAGGATACAGGAGCAACCCACAGGAAGAATACCGAAAAACACCTTCCAGGGCTTTGCAGTTATACATATTCACACTGCATACGCATATCTGTGTGTGCAGGCCCGGGGATGTCATTGCTTCTACCCCTTCTCAAAAACTTCTGAATCTCTTGATCATTCTTCATTTGATCTACAAAGCAATTAAGGACTGAGAAATTCAACCATTTCTTGAAAACAGGCAATTGGATAAAGCAGAGAATCTATAAACTGCTCCCATGATGGGAAAGGTTCACACCTTGTCTATCAATATCAATCAAGAAAGAGAACCATATCTGAAAGAAACCAGGCTCCTTTCATTCCAGTGCTCATGGAAGTGCACGTTTTCTGAAGGGAAGGATTGCTTAAAATCCCAGACCAGCAAAAGAATAGATGTGCGTTATACAGAAGACAAGTGTTCTTTCCTGCACTCTGCTTGTCAAAATACAAGCTCAAAATTCAGTATTTTACCCATCAGACTGCTGACATTACTATTTGTATGATCGAAGTATTAATAAGCTTAAGTATTAATCAGTTGCTGCAGGTGAAGGAAACAAGAAACCATCTTTTTACTCTTTATTTTAACAAAATTGTACAAGGAAATTTTTTACATCACCTTGCAAATATAAGAGCTAAGACTGTGGAAGCTTACAATTTCCCTGCAGTGTGTACTTCCACAGTTCCCTAAATTGTCATAATTGGTTCCAAAAAATCTGACTTGCTTATTCTGCCAGATAGAAGTTCTGAAGCCTAGGCATCATTTATACAATTGTCTCTCTGATAACGGATACACAAGAAAGAATGAAGACAGGATACAAACAGTGGGGGGAAAAAAAAAAAAAAAAAAAAAAAGAGATGGACATTCATCTTCTTTATCAGTGTGAGCAAAGATGAAGAGAGAATGCAAGAAGAAATTATTTCCTGGAATATTACATGGTATATTAAAAATTAACATTTAAGGATATTTCTTCATTCTCTCTTTCAAATAAGGTGAAGAGCACTATTTCTTCAACCTATAGTAAAATAAACCTAAGCTAGCACATGAGCAAATGTACTGACACCTTCAGAAATACTATTTTCAATTAATGGCTTTATTTGTCATTGACATGCAATTTGTGTAAGACTACTTCTTTGAAAAATAGAGAATGTCATTCCTATGCAAATGGTAGAGACAAGGTTCTGTTGTGATAAAGATGATGTTTGCGAAGTCATGGTAAAAGAAGGACAAAAGAAGCAAAAGGCACTAACAAATAATCCAGTGAGCATAGGGACTAATCAGCCCCAATGTCCTTCTGATCAGATGTGAGGTGCTCACTTGTACAAATTAAAGCTCTTCCCACTGTATTATATACATTTATAAGGCAATGTTCTGGTCTACATAGACCATCTGGCATCTACTAATATATGCATTTATGCCACAGCTTTTTCTGCATTCAAGGCACAGGTGGAGTTTGTTTCCTCTTCACAGCTCCTCAGTCTCAAAAACCTGCAGCAACTTATTTTTGACACCTGTATACCTCAGTCAAACTTGACTGAAATCAACCACACTAAAGTTATTTAGACTTACACACCTTCTCCCCCTGGTACTAGAGATCTGATTCCTTTAGAAATCAGGACAAGTAATCTGATCAGTACTAAATTTGAGAGACAGGCTTGTTTTCTAAAAGAAGTAATAAAGATACTAAACAAAACTTCTTAAAAAGTTATATGAGTTACTGAACAATTCACTCCAGTGCAGATGTGTGTAACTGTATTAACGTAGTCCTAAGCAAGGTCTTAAGAATAATTATCTACTTGCTTGGTATGTATTGTTTTGTTGAAAACACAGCTGGAAATAAATTATGGAAACATAGAATTCCATTATTAAGTAATTTTACTACAGTATGTGACATTTTATTACAGTATATTAATTTTACTTTATGAATCGTGCTATGGAAAAATGCACGCCATTCCTAAACTGTGCAGCACAAGACCAAACAGCTCTTAGGCACCAGCTAATATCCCTGTATAAAGGAACTTTTCATTAACCTGATAGATAGGTAGAAACAAGGATCTTTATATAAATGTGAAAGGGAGCTTCTCTATACAGCTGGTGGAAAAATGGTGTAGTATTGACTAAATCAGAAGTGCCCTCTGCTGTGGGTGACAGACTAACTGCAGTGAGAAGCCTGGAAAAGCCACTAGGTGAGAATGTTAACAGCATTCCAGTGTCTGAAGGGGTAGGATTTAAAATCAAGCCTGGTAGGCCCTGTCCAACCTGTTCCTCTCCAGCTCGACAGTATGCAAACTACTGTTTAATTTAGCTACTGAGTAAGCAGTACTGAGAAACTTACTTCTCAATAAGAAGCTTGGGTTTTAAGTTGACATCCATCTAACACTGCACATTTGTAGAAATCTTCACGTCAACATTGGACTGTCATCTAAAATAGTGTATTTTGCTTTATAAAAACGATTGTTACTACCAACTTAAACAAAAACTTAATATATGTCAGCAGGAGCAATGTACCTAGAAAATCCATGCCACAAGAAATGTATCTGTTTTGGGTAATATCTGTAATATCACAAATCATGATGGTTTAACCATATCAGAAATATGGTAAAGTTGCATAAGGTTCTCAACTGTACGAAAATTGATTTGTTCAGTTTTAAACTCAACTAGTATTTATAGTAAATCTAACAATCAGGGGATAAAAAAGTCAATCACCCACAATGAAACTTTCATTTCAAGTTAAAAGGTGATAAACGAGAAAAGTACAGGATCTTAAAATCTTTTATTTCTTCCCGTTTGAACTTCATGGCTAATACTGATTCTACTGATACTAAGTCCATAAAACCTAGAACTAATCCTAAAAGAAATCTGGATGGTCAATGTGTTGTTTTCATGAATTCCCCTCACAATCCATAATGGTCTTTATGCTGATGTACATCAGCAAGATGACGACTTAATCACTTGGCAAGGTAGTAAGCAACGGCCAACACGGCAATAAGAAATGAGGCAAAACATTCAAAATGTCAAAATAAAGGTAAATCCAAAACAAAGATTCCTCCCCATTCTTTAATTCTCATTCACGTGAAACAACTGCATGATTTAAAACTATTAATTTATCATTGAATTAATTCATAGCTTCAGCCAACGTATGGATATGGGTGCACACTGTACAGCAGTGCCCCATATACTCTGCCAGCATTTTGACCTGTAACAAGCTGGGATTCCCGTTTGTGAACCAAGGCAGCCGGCAGGTGCATGCTACTTCATGCCACCCAACCCAAACTTCCATTCCATCCATCTGCCCCCCAAAATGATGAACTCAGAAGAAACAGGTGCTAGAACACCCGAGTGTCACCAAACAAAAAAAAAAACAAAAAAAAAAAAAACAGGCACAATCAACCTTTTGCGTTTGGTACAAAACCCACGGAAGGATCGAATGCACGACGCACTGTGCACGGCGCAGCTGCCCTCAGAGCAAGTCACCTTCATGATTTCTGTTCAGCATTTCGGTACTGAGCTGCAACTGAAACCCTACCAAAACCTCACGGAACGAGACCCATGCAGGGGGATCTCTCTGTCGCCTGCTGCCAGGTGAAACCTAACCTACACACCGCACGAACCCCCGGACTGTCCGTCTCTTGCGGGGCCAGCCCTCCCGGACGAAGCATTTGCTGGTATTTACAGT